GGAGTCAGTAGGTCATGTGCGACGACGTTAGGCCTTTTAGTTGAGAAGAAAATTTTTGTGATGTTGAATGTTGACTGACCCAGGAGCAATAAATGTATTTGAATTCATGCGTATTGCAAGAGTGATTTCAGCTGCTTGAAGCCAGGCCCAGCAGTGGCACTGGCAGAGCCTGTTGCAGGACCTAGCCTGTATCCTGTTGCTTGTTTTCAGCTGAAGCCTCATTTGTTGTGTACTTTAACACCAGCTTGCTTCAACATGCATCTTAGCTAAGAATTAGAGCAGCATGCATTTACGCTTGTAGTTGGGAGTCAGAATGGATTAATTCCCTCTGGGGAGGGACTTTTTACAAGAGTGTCCACTGACAGGACAAGGGAAAATGGGTTTAAGTTGAAGGAGAATAGATTTAGATTAGACCTTAGGAAGAAATTCTTCAGCACGAGGGCGGCAAGACTTTGACATAAATTGCCCAGAGACGTTGTGGCTGGCCCCTCCCCGGAGGGGGTTATTTTTTTTTGGACGGAGCCTTGAGTAGCCTGATCTAGTTGAGAGGCATCCCTGCCCATGACAGGGAGGTTGGACTACATGATCTCTAAGGTCCCTTCCAGCCTAGGCCATTCTATGATTCTATGATTTCATTATTCATAGTGGCCATGTGTGGTGTGTCATAAGAAATGGTAGTTTGCTGTGGTACTGAATCCTGCCTTTTTTAAAGCTAGCACACATTCAGTTAAGTAATTCCTATCATACGTTCTGTAGGGAGAGGGCTGCAAAGGAACAGACCTAGCAGTTGCAGCACAATAAATCTCTAGCAGAACTAGAAAACAGATTTCCGGATCCTCCTGGCTCTAGAGTTATGAATCACTGTCATGATGCTGTGTAATGTTCAAACTGCCAGGAGGTTGTTAGGGGCTCATTCACAGAGTTGTGCGGTGTGAGTTGGAAGCTGGAGAGGTCAAAGCTGTGCTACCCATAATTATAAAATACAACGGCCTTCCTCTATGCTGTGTTAAAATTCTTATTGGGAGCCAGACTTCACAGTTCTTATGCATGTCTGTAAAAATGATGGGTAGCTTTTGTATTCTAATGGTAACTGTGCTGAGTGGGAGAGGCAAGATTTGCTTATGACATTAACAGGATTTCTAATTTTGCTCTGGATGGCAGCTTTTGCAAATGAGGTATGGGAGTTGAAATCTCTTGGTGAAGGGCTCACATGTTGGGGGAAAAAATCCACAAATTTTCAAGGTGTGCATGGAGACTTGGATGCAGCTGTTCTCCCTTGCTAATAACTGAGATCTGAGGCTATAGGTTGGATCCTCAGAGGCGAAGGAAAAAAATCAAACTCTTCGGTGGGACTTGTGCTGAGGTTCCTGATGCTTGTGATTTACAATACCAGTAGCTGTTGCACTAGGTCTACTGCAAAGCTCCACTGTATACTGTTGTGAAGACCACTTTTGAAAGTCTTTATCCTTGGCCATGCAATAACTATCTTCTCTTTTGCTTTCACTTAATAGGAATAATGTTTCCAACATGTCTGTGCAGTCGCTGCTTTGTGAAAGGATTGCCATTGCCAAGGAATTGATCAAGAGAGCAGAAGCCCTTTCCAAGTCCCAGAAGAGGAGAATAGAAGGTGGCGCAAAATTATGTGGCAAACTGAAGGCCGAGTTAAACTTCTTACACAAGGTGGAGGCAGGGAAGGTGGCCATTAAAGAATCTCACCTACAGAGTACAAACCTTACCCATCTCCAAGCCATTATCCAGTCAGCAGAGAACCTGCAGGATATTGTCAGTGTTCTCCATGTCTTTGCTTACGAGGACAGGTTTGGAGACAGACAGACACTGGTGGTAGATGTTGTTGCCAATGGAGGTCACACATGGGTGAAGGCCATTGGTCGGAAGGCTGAGGCCCTGCATAACATCTGGCTGGGGAGAGGCCAGTATGGTGACAAAAGCATCATTGAGCAGGCAGAGGACTTCCTGCAAGCAAGCCGTCAGCAGCCGGTGGAATACAGCAATCCCCACATCATCTTCGCATTCTACAACAGTGTGTCCAGTCCCATGGCAGAGAGACTCAAGGAGATGGGAATATCTGTGCGAGGAGACATTGTGGCTGTGAACTCACTGGCGGAGCCATCTACAGAAAACCAGCACCTTAGTGCCAGTGAATCAGATGAAGAAGGCCTTGAGCTCCTGCAAGTGACCAGAGTAGACCGGGAGAACTTAGTGGCCAGCCTTGCTTTTCCTACCCAGATCAAAGTAAATGTGTGCAATAGAGTTAACTTGGACATTACTACCTTAATAACTTACGTCTCTGCTCTGAGCTATGGTGGCTGCTACTTCATCTTCAAAGAAAAAGTGCTAACGGAGCAAGCGGCTCAAGAAAGGAGGGAGAGAGTCCTGCCCCAGCTGGAGGAATTCATGGAGGGGAAAGAGCTCTTTGCTTGTCAATCTGCTGTCAGAGATTTTCAATCCATCTTGGAAACGCTGGGAGGACCTGCGGAGAAAGAGCGAGCTGTGCTGCTTGTTAAAAGAATTAACGTGGTGCCAGATCAGCCGTCTGAGCGTGCCTTAGGATTAGTGGCCAGTTCAAAAGTCAACAGCCGTTCTCTTACCATTTTTGGGACGGGAGACACTTTAAAAGCCATCACCATGACTGCAAATAGTGGTTTTGTGAGGGCAGCGGCAAACCAAGGTGTCAAGTTCAGTGTTTTTGTCCATCAGCCCCGAGCATTGACAGAAAGCAAAGAATCTGGTGCCACACCTTTGCCAAAGAGCTGCCCACCTGATAATGAACCATAAGTCATTGAATGAGTTAGTCGTTGAAATACTGCAGGTATTTGGAGAAACAAGAGTCATCGTAATACATTTCTGGGTGTGTTTTGGTGAAAACAGTAGCAGTGGATGCATTCCTCAAGAGATCTGCAATATCTTTACTCAGTTCTTGTTTCTTTTTGTTCAGCTGACCATTAATTTATTCACTAAGTTAATAAGATTTCAGTGATAATTGTTAACTGGCTTACAGTGTATTAATTGTATCCATTCCCATTAAAAAGTTCAGTTAAAGCACAGTTGCCTTTGTGCCATTGTCATTTTTATCCTTTTCAGAGAGATTAAATTCAGCACCTTAGATGGACTTCAGACTTGACTTCTGTGGAACTTTTCACCCATCTTGTTCAAGTAAATTTTTTGTTGATGTGACCGGTAGCCATGAATAGGAAACTCTGTGTATATACCACGTTAAACTGAATTGGGCAACAGCTTTAAAATTCTTGGAAAAATAAGGTGAAATAGGGTTTGTTGGCACTAATATGTTGTGACTGTGGGCCAAAGCCAACAGCTGGTGGTAGCTGGCCAAGGAGGCAAATCCACTTTAGTGTTGGCGTGGTGGAAGAGGTGGTCTGTGGAGTGTGTTGTTAAATGCTAGTTTACCCCATAGTAGAGAGAAGCTTTTTCACTGGTGGTGCAGTTGCTGGTTTTATTCAAAATATAGAATAAACAACTTTTTTTTTCTTTCTTTCTTCTTTTTTTTTTTCCCAGGAGAGAATTGCTGTTTTAGAAGCCTTTCTGATGGTTTGTTTTTGTTTTTTTCTCCTGTATGCTGTAATGACAGCACTTGCTGTTTGGTATTAATTTGCATGAGGTTCTTGGTGGAAAATGTTGGGATGCTAGAGTGAATCGCTTGGCCCTGAGCTGTATCAGGTCAGTGAAAGAGATACCCACTGAATATTTTATAGGCCGTTGTTCAGCAAGGTAGCATTATTACGTAGCTTACAGTTCAGGCAAAGAACAGTCCCTTGCCTCTTGCTGCTCCACTCTAAGTTTCTTTCTAGGAAAGTGGGTGAGGGAATCAAGATGGGAGAGGCCATCTTGAGAATAAAAAAGAACTGTGTGCCTTGAAACTGTATTTCTGTTTGGTGTCAGAAGTCCTGAAAGAAGGTACAAGAAACCTCCTAGTGAATGATTTCTGAACAAACAACCTGGGTGAGAGGGATTTTGATTTGTTTGCAACTTCAAAAGCTGAGGTCCCAACAGATAGCTTACTGTCTGTCTGTCACTGATCAATCTGTTTTAGTCGTACAAGATATACTCAAATGCATAGTAACAGAGTACTTATGCATGGCAATTGATTACAACCTTTTAGAACTAATCCTTTGTATTTAAGTTACTTTTGATTTGTTTGCAGCCTTTCTGCCCTGATGAGGGATGAATGAATAAATCGAGAGCTGCTTAATTCCATTTCCTGCTGTGACTCTGAAATGGGCTTCCATCATTTTCCTTGCTGTATCCCATTCAGTACTCTTTGAATGTCCTCTTGTGCACTCTCTAAAGGGATTTCTCCAAACTGCAGATGAGAGAGCAGTGACCCACATTCTTAACATGGGAGGTGGCTCGGGGGAAGCAAGCAACCCTGTATTGCCTAGATGAGAAGCGGGTGAGCTCTGCTGTACTCCTTCACTCCTGCTGCTCCAGAGGTATCTGATTTGTTTCGTAGTGATAGTTTTCTATGAATGCTAAATACAACTCCGTTTAAAAGCCTGTGTGGAGCCATCGTGTGGTGGTTTTTCTTCATTACTAGTTGGTCTTGCCTGACAATCTGTTACTGAATCAGTTTTCTTTATTTTACCAATTTCTACCAGTCATACAAGCAGTATTTTAGGAATGTGAAACTTGAGAAATTATTGGCATGCCACTGTGTGCTTCAAGGGGGTTTTATTGTTATTTTGTGTCTCCCTGTTGTGTGATGCAAGAAAAAGCTCCGAGTGGGTGTTCTGGGGTTATTTTTGTTTGTTTTGTTGGGTTTCTTTAAGGCTGTTTATACCTTCAGTGGTTTTCGGGCTTTTTGCTCAAACAGAAGTGCAGTGCTGGCAGATGGTAAGAATTGCCTTATAAGATGAAACCTGAAACTGAATGCTGACTTGGAACCAAAATGTTTTGATTGTCGTATTTGGTGGCTTTTGCATTGTCTTCCAAGATACTGGAGATCTACATATATATACCAGTGTTATGGTTTAGTGCGTTTAGATAGCTTCTACTTAATTTTGCAAATGGGGGACTGGATGTTGGACTTCCCTCATTTTTGACTTTACAAATGAGTAATTAGAAGCCACCAAATTGTATTTGAAATTAAATTGAAAAAAAAAAAATAGAAATCCAAGACTGCTTATCCTTTCTTTCAATATCACACAACTGCTTTGTCTATGCTATGCCAGGCACATATGGAGACATCCTACTTGGTGCAGTGGATTTTGGTTATTTTTTTTCAGGAAACTTTTGAGTATCACGTTTTTGGCAAAGGACGATTCCTAAACTGTTTCAGAGAGCCTTGTTTTTCTGGCACTTTTAATTTATCCTACATGGTCTCTGTATGGCTCTGTAGTCTCTGAGGAGAGCCAGCATCTCGATTGCTTGCAGCACTCAGCCTCGTCTCTTTGCTCCCACAGTAAGAAAACCAAACAAGGAAGGGTGCAATCAATGCCAGGCAGTATAAAGCACTTGGATATTATATGAGAAATAAATAGGTAAGTTGTTAATACATTCATGTTTCTAATTTGTCTCCTACAGTTTTGTCAAAAGCAAACTTATTTTTGGACACAGCTGTGTATGATTTTTACTTGCTCTTGTTCTGGCTGACAAAAGTTAGCAGATAAATGATTTGTTTGTCATTGTACCTCCAAGTCATGAAAACACGCAGAGGTAGTTTTGCGTGTTGCAGCTGCAGCTGTGTAAAAGCGTTTTTCTTCGAATTAACAGGCTAAATAGTGGTTTGTGTTTCATACTGTTCCCCTCTTCTGTGATGATGTCATCAGCAGATCTAAAGCAGTCTGCTGAAGTCTTATGGAACCTGTCTGAAAATACTTTCACAACCCTATTCTTAGTTCCTGAAAACTGAAAGTAGATATGTTCACAACTTTAATAAAACAAGAAAACATAAACGTTGGTGGTTTGAAGTAAGTTTGAGAGGAGACCTAGAAAAAATATCCTAAAATCTTTCTTGTTCAAGTGGAGTGGGGGAAGGATTTGCAATAATGACAAAGCATGTAATTGCGATAATATTCTTTATTTCAGGTTATTAGGCAAACGAAACAGCACAAGTCACCTGTTAGCTAATTAACCTAGTAAAGTAAGCAAGAACTAGATAGGGTTCTTGAACTGAAGGCTGTGGTTACAATTTTCCTGCAAGCTGTAGTTTTAGGAGCTGCTCCTCTGTCCAGCTTGCTGCAGACACTGCATGTGTGTTCTTCTATGGTGAAATCGGCTCTGTAAGTACATGTGGCTGTTGCTTTTCCATCAAGATTTAATGTTGCAGTTTATTCTAGACTAAAAACAAAGAGAGTGAATGTCAAACTACTACACTGAGTAACAGAACTGCATGGAATTGTGACTTTGGGGCTTTGTGATTTTTTCCGATGAACACCATGGAAATGAAAATTGTTCCCACATAAACTGTTGTAAAGAAAAAGTAATCAAAAACTACTCTCCTCAAACTTTCATTGTTCAGAAGGTCCTTCTGTCCATTTAAAAGATCTTTACTTATAATGTCTGACATAAGACATTTCTCTCTTTGGGGTGTTTTTTTTGTTGTTAAACCAAAACAACAAAACCAAAAATATCCCAAACCCATAAACCCCCAAGCAAACAAAAATAAACCAAAAGAAACCTAAAAGAATTAACAACATCAGATAATAAAGCTGTGTCCCTTTATTCATTGATGAGGCTGAATGTGTGATAAAACCTCTTACTATGGTAATGAGAAACATGGGGATACAGGGCACTGAAGTTCACACTGCAGTATCAGTATGAAAATCTAGGGACTAGAGGAATGAGTAGCACGAGTTCTTGATGGTATTTTTAGGCCGAGGTTCATCATATCCATTTATTGAAGCATTTGAGGTCTCAACACAGCCCTGGTGGTAACAGTAGTGAAGGTGATAGTTTAGAAGATGATAGTTCAGAGCAAGCTCAGTAAATTCTACCATGGAGCTTTCTTGGTCTGTTGGTGGTAGTAGTGCTGATTAATTTAAGGGGTTGCTCCGTTCTTGGAAATCACACTGGACACGATACTATAATTTCCAGTTTTCCTAGCACAGACATGGTCCTAAATGCCGTTGAAGTAAGCGGGAGAAATAAAGCAAAAATATTTCAAAGGAAATGTTTTCAAGGGAAAACACTCCCAAAAGATGGGGCAGCTGGTGTAAACAGAGTAAAGGAATATAGAAGGTTAAGTCAGTGTCAGGTAGTCTGGCTAGCCGGACTGGAAGCACGGCAGGAATTGGTGGGAGTGGGAGAAAAGTAATACTTTGGTGTATCCTCTTCCATGCTTTGTGCCCTGCTCTGAGCTTTGGAGAAGCTGCTGATAGCTCTCAAGGGACAAAGGGTAGAGCCTTCAGATGAAATGGTGCTCCAGACAAGATCATTGCATGATATGTCACACAACTTCCTTGCGGGTGAGAGCTGCATGTGGATGGGTAGTAGGACAGACCCTCTGCGGGTTTGCAGTCGTTGAATTTCTGACTCCTCTTCAGATTTTTCTGCTCTAGTACATAATTTGGCCCATCTTTACAGCAAGAAGCTTCACCAGAGTGAAATGTCACTCAGACAGACCACAGGCCTTCCTAACAATGAAATTCCACCATATAAATCTGGGTTTTGGTTTGGTTTGGGTTTATTTTCCACATTAAGAATGTGCATTATAAGCTAGCATTAACTAAATCCCCAAGAGAAACCCCTTTCATGGAGAGGGGAGGTGTGACCTCGTTACTTCACATACAGCTGTGAAATGCATTCATCCGTAATACAGAATTTGTCTTAAGGAGTCTCGCCTTCCTCTCCATTACTAGTTATTTATGTTT